AGCGAAATCGAGTTGGACCCTCCCTACTACGATCCTTGGAACGAAACCGGTTTCAAAGTTCTGAGGAAACGAATGAATGCCACCGGCGGACTGATACTGGCCAAGTTGGCTATATACTTCAACAAAACTTTCGACAAGGCTTCCTTCATGGAGAGTGCCAGAGCGTTCGTGAAGAAATATCCTGTTGACGGTTTCAATTTGGGCATCCTCCCATATGATCTCAGTGAGTACCAACTTCTGAAGGAACTTGTCGCGGCCATTAAAGAGCTCAACCTACGGGCATGTTTATGGTGGGTCAACAAATACCTCGGAGCACGGGAATCCTGTTGTGATCACTGGCTCCAGCAGCTGCTTCGTCATGTTAGGTTCATAACATCTCATTGGCAGGAAATCAAACGAACCGGCCTAGGGAAGATAGTCGATAGTGCCAGTGTTAGCCTGTGGCCAAGTGACAACAAAGAATCCATAGAAAACTTCAATACGGACCGTTTCGCCGAAGATACGATCAAAGATGTCGTGAAAGCAGGTGTAGATCTCAATAAGCTGATCCTTTCTGTAAGTGTAGTACACCAAGTGTGCACGACTACAACAGTCTTCAGTACTTCGCTGCTTTTCCTGCGATAGAAGGTTTTCTTCAGAGTCACCTTCTGCATTGATGGCGCGTTCGCTGAGACCGACTTCATATATATTATTTGGCATGGAATCCAGCGTTGCTTTTCAGATACCACTACTCGCTAGTCCGAACTACGATAGCTCGTACCTGGGATACTCGAATGCAATCTACGACTTTGGTGCGGACCCTAGGGGAAACGGATCATTTTTCCTCGCGGAGGGGGAGGCCTACTATTTCTTTTCACAAACTCGTGCAATCGAGAAAGTTGCCCTGGCCAAGAAGTACGGACTGCACGGCATTGGACTAGACGGCAGCGACTCTATGATGATGGACGATCTGTACCCCTGGGACGCAAACTCCCTGTTTCATGCCATTGCTTCAACAGTATAGTTGAAACTCAACTCGCGGACGATCCCTCACCGAGTAGTACTCAGCTATTCCTGAATGATGCCTCTAAAGCTGAGTCCTTATCACATTTTACTTCAATGTCCAGTGGCAGGGTGTGTCTATGATCTTGGATGCATAATACGTGATGCAATAACAGCTACTGATGGTCATTGATCATTTCTCTTTTCGCCTTTTTCATATCGAACTACCGCCAGCCGCACAACACTCCGGCCCATTATATCACTTGTTTCGGAAGAAAGTTTCACTTCCCGCGAGAAATGTACTTGGGTTGGAAAGTTAAGAAAGCGTCGGGATACAGTTTCTCAGAAACTGTTGCAGCGCTGCTGTTTCATTAACCGGTATATTCAATTCACCAGCTTCGGTGATCGGCCTGATTTTCGGACCATTCGTGCTCGGAATGTCTAAGATTTGAACCCAAAGTGCTTCAATGA